GGGGAGCGTTGACCTTCCTGGGTGTGGGTCCAAGGCGGGGCTGGCACTTCTGTGAAAGCCTGACTGGTTCCAGTGTTCTCACATTTGCCCAGTTTTATCTTGTGTGACACGCTCTGTTCCCAGAACATGTCACCGGCTCACACAGGGTGGGTCTCCACATCATAAAGTGACCAGAAACCTTTAAAGCGTTTGGCTGAAGTGCAAATTAAACTGAGGTTTCAGCTGTAAACTTATCCAAGGCGTGATGTGCTGTGAAACTGTGATCAGGTCAGATGTCTGTCCATGTCCACGGTGGCCAGCAACTGTTAGCTGCTTGCATATCAGAACTTTTTTCATATTTAATAACATCATAACCACAAGTAGTATAACTTTGTGTGATTAGCCAACACAACAGCGCCGCGGTGTCACAGAAATCATTATGGAAGGCCCGGATTGACCCACAGGCCTCGAGTTTCACACGTGACGTAGCACATGACTCTGGAAAATTAGCTTTAAAATATTTCACAAATGTGTTTCAATTTCATGTATTTTTGGGATATTTACTCCCCAAACCCCGAGGCAAACTTTTGTGCATTTAGTAATTTTTGCCCCCTTTTCTTTTCAAAGGATCTCTAAACATAAATTTTTAAATATTACCACATATTCTCTGTTTGTTTTAGATTTTCACTCTGATTGATTTATTCTAAGACATGAAATGCACTGATCTAAACTCTAGTCTATTATTATTATTATTATTATTATAATCCTTTGAGATGTGAAGATGCAAAGGGTGTTTGAAAATGTATTATTTTTAGTATTCCACTGAAGTTTTGGCTGCATGTTTGGGCCATAACTGAGATATAGCTACATGTATGTTTCACGTCCAACTGGGTTTATTGAGGGATATCAAAGTGACTGCATGTGATACTTTTAAGATCATTATTAATAAAATGTGTCAATAAAATCACGCGTCCCCATGTGCTGCTTTGGATCTGCGCATGCATGAAATCCCGAGGAAAAATACGTCAACGTTCACGCTTTGCGAAAATGTAAAAAGGCTCCGTCGTTGTGAATTCTTTCGCGAGGCGCTTTAATGTTGCCTAAGTATTGCTTGCAGCTGTGGTAGTTTGCTCAGTCTGGCCAACAGAATCTGCCGCAGAAACCTCCATTGAAGAAATGAACTTCAGCTATATCTAATTAGGATTCTTTACGGCTCCTGGTAAACAGATGATGTTGGTTTCACGCAGGACCGAGCGAGTAGTTTCCCACTGTTTTTAGTCTCTCGGTCGCACAAAAACCAAGCCCGCCAGGCTTCGGAGTGGTGCAATTTCTTCGCGCAGCCTCGCCGAGAAAAGGTGGCTGAACCGTGTCGCGCAAAAGCAGCGACCCTGGGTGAGATCCGGAAACCACTCGAAACCAGTTTTATTGGGTGAAAAGCTGAGTTGGTGGAACGGTTCTGAGTGAGTCTGCAGTTGAAGTCGGTTGTGGTGAGACCGCAGATTACTGAATGTCTCTGCGTTGATTGGAAGCTGGATTAGAGATGATGATAGCGTGTTGGTGTCTCTGGCAGGAGGAGACGTATGAGAAGCTCCTCAGTCAGAAGCCTGCTAATGTGGGTTTTAGGTTCTGAGGGAATAACTTTGTGAAGGTTTTTACCTTTTTCCAGCTCCTTCTGTAAACAAGAAATGCATGCAGCAGGCCCGGGTTTTTTTTTTTTTTTTTTTTTTTTTTTTTTTACTCTGATTTCTTCCTTCCTATGTAAACCGTCCAGTCTCTCAAGTGGGATTAAGGCATCCAACTGTGAAAAGAACCTACTCCTCTTGGCGCACGGTATCATTATAGCCTATATTGCTATTAGAAGCACAGCAGGGAGAGGTTTTGTCCTCTACACATTGTCAGAAGTGGTCGTAAGATGTCTCCGAGTTCGCCGGTGCTGAGAGAGAAAAGAAGAAAAAAAAATCTCTTCGAACTGATGATAACGGGGATTTATTTTTGGGGCGGTGGAAGCCTCAAAACCTATTAGAGTTCATGTATAAATCACATGTTTTACATGCATGAAAGACTTCCGTGGTCGACCTCAGAGCAGCGTCTGCGAAAAGGATATCCGCTCATCAGTCTCTGCTGTATATTTAAACGGAAATCCCTGTTTGTAAATATATACTTTGGTCTTTATTTGTAGACTCGTATGTCTGGACTGTGAGTGAAGCTACAAAAAAAAAGTGATGAGTATTAGTTGTATACTACAGTTTTGTTGACTTTTCCCCCCCTGTATTTCTGTTTCCTGTTCCTGCAGTGGAGTATGACCGGGAGCTCTCTCCGCAGCGGCGTCACCACAAGGAGTTTAAGTTCAACCTGTCGCAGATCCCAGAGGGCGAGGCCATCACGGCAGCCGAGTTCCGCCTTTACAAGGAGTGCGTGAGCCAAGCGTTTCGCAACGACACCTTCATGCTCAAAGTCTACCAGGTGGTCAAGGAGCACCCTGACAGGTACGAGCCACACACGAGAGGCCTTTTACTCTTGGCTCTTTCAAAAGTGATGCATATCTCCCCATGTCAGGGTTACTGAAACTTCCAGAATTTCATGGTTAAACTAGTTAGCTGCCCTACATGAAATAAAGACATGTTTTTACAAACTCTCAGCGCCTTGCAGAAGTCGTAGCGTCCCTTGAGCTTTTTAATACCGCTGCATAGTTTTTGCTGCGTCTCCTACAAGGAGTGTATAAACGTCAAATTAGACTGGTGGTTTTGTTTCAGCTATAGCTTCCCTTTTTTTCCATAAAGGCCAGATTTGCGGAGTGCTAATAGCTGTACTGTCAACAGACCATAACACCTGAGCTCCTCCACGGTTATAATGGGGCGTTTGGCTGCTTCTCTGGTTCTCTTGTTGTCCGATCCGAAAGTGTAGATTGATGGCCACATGTTGGTGGGTTTGCAGCTTTTGGATGATGGATTTAACAGAGCTGTGTGAGATGTTCGAAGCTTGGGAAGTTGTTTTGTAGCCTAACCCTTCTTTGAGCTTCTCAACAACATCATCCCTCGCATGTCTGCCGTGTTCCTTGGTCTTCGTGATGCTGCTGCTCACTAATGTCCTCCAACAATCCTCTTTGATGTTCACAGAAAAACAGCAGAGACTGTAAACCCATAGATACATTTTCCAGAGGGGATGCAGTTTGTTTTTACAAAAAAAAAAGGATAGATGGGAGTTTGCTACTGAAACAGAATTTTTACTGTGAAACTCCTGCAACTTAGAAACAGCGTTCTGCTTTCCTGTGTGGTGTCCATCGCTTCATCCCTTGTTTATAATGCAAAGCTGAGCAAACCCCTTCTCCCCCTTCTTGCAGAAATAACTTCAGCTTTAAAAGAGTCCCATCTTCTAAATAACCACAGCTGATACACGTCAAACATTTACCTTACCTCTGCAGGGCAGATAAACAGCGTCTCTGAATTGGTTTGGTGTTTCAGGAAGTCTGCTCCATGACAAACAACGTAAAGAGAGTTTCTGATATACTTCAAGTTATTCTCAGTCGCTTCGCTTCAGCAGGCCCTTAGGCAATGGAGAATTGGTGTAGTTATTCATCTTGACCTGGGCGGCTTTAGCGCTCAATATCTGCTAAATGTGTTCAATCTGCAAGGCCCATACATCTGCATAAGGAGAATTAGATCTTACCACTCATTGTTAAAACATGGTAATTGAGCAGACAACTACTTAAATTTCACATTCTTGAATTCATTTTTTCTCTTAAGATGTTGTTGGGTTACCAAGTAGGGGCCTAAGTGAATTAAAAGTAAAAGATCTTTAGCTTTAAAGACCTTTTTTCCCCCTCTCCTAATTTTACACGTTAAACTGTAACTTTGCAATCGCCAAATCTGCAGGAAGCCTATTAACTTTTCCCGTGGCCCTGACTCCTGTTTTGGCTCTGAGCTGTAATGATAGAGTGTTTAATTAGCTTGACGCCCTTTGTTCTTTTCATTCGATTGGCTTCTTGAGCAGCAGGCCAGGAATGTGAGAGATTACAATGCCAAAAATGTGACAGAGCTGACATGAGAGAAGGCAGACTACTCCCAACCGCTGACCGCTAATCAGCATTTTTTTAAACTATTTTATTTTATTACCAATCATAGAGCACTTAACTTATGGTTATCTTTGAAAATAATTATGTAATGTCTTAAAAATGCAATTAATACTGATATTTCAAGAAACCCCACTCACATTTTGGTTTATTAGTTTTGCAAATATGCCATTTTAGTAAAGGACCAGAAAATTCTTCTATTTTGCATATAAATATAAGCAAAGCAACCAACAAGATCTGTTTAAAGAAGCGGTTTCAAACTAGGGATGGACATTTATTGTATTGTATATAATTTCTCATGAGGAATATCTTATCATGAAAACAATTCCGATTTATGGCTGTGATAAATTCCAATTAAATGCAACTTTAAATCCCCCCAAAACTGTCTGTATTTTTGGGATTGTAAGATTTACTATTTTCTCTACAATGAAAATGGCAATAAGTATGATTAAATGCAGTAGTTACTGTGTGCAGTTTAGCGATACAGATCATCTTTATGCGACTGCCGTCCTAAAGAAGCATAACAAACGCAAATGGTTTTCAAGATCAGCAGTTGTGTGTTTGTGGGGATATGATCTCAACCACACAATTACCTAAAAAAATAAGCAATAAATAGTTGTTATTGTCGCTGTCGTTATCACAATGCAACCACAAAATATTCCGATATGTTCAATCACTCACCCCAAATCCGAAAAAATAAAAAATAAATCTTCAGTTAATTACAGGTTCCAGTTTGTATAAGAAGTCAGTAATAAAAAGTTTCACTGGATCTCAGGTGGAGATCTTTTTTTGTCACATGACGGCGTGCAAAGCCGCAGCGTCCTGGCCCAGCTGCGTGCGGAGGGGGTTTCATGCCGAAGCTGTCAGAAACGCTCTCATTACAGACCAATAAAGCGGGGCTGCAGAGTCATGACTGCAGGGGCATTCTGCGAACACCTGGATGACTGCGGAGCTTTGATGTCGTCTCTGGGAGGACGGTCCCACGGGCCCTCGGCTGTGTTATTACTGTCTCTAATGGGACGGCGGGAGGACGAGGCCCTCTTATTATCCACGCTCTGCCTTTTTCTTACGTCTCGCTTCTCATTAACGAGTGATACTTCTTTCCCGCGTTCGACACAGTCCGCTCGACTCCTTCGCACAGAAAAAATATTGTGAATGATTTTAGCATACATGAATCGCAGAGAGTGGCGGACAGAATCTGGCCTACGCCAGAATTATCTGGGATTTTTTCAGCTAATATCAATTCATTTGGAATATTTTTTTATTTTTATTTTTTTTGGTGTCCAATATTTAGGTTCTTTTTTGCTTTCCATGTGAAAAAAATGTTTTTCAAAAACTCAAATATGACAATTTTAGTTTTTGATTGATGGAGCTAAACTTTAAATTTGAAGAGTCATGATACATGATCTCAAGACATTATACATGATGTCTTTAAAAAAAAAAAACTCTTTAAAGGGAGATTTAGCCTTAAAAACATACAGAAACTTATAAAAACTCCTTGGCCAATAATAAACTGAGTAAGACAGTTTTACTCCAACTCAACTTAACTGCACCTGTGTGTGTGACGCCTGTTTTTTTAGAAGTTCTGGCTGTTTTGTTTGCCTTAGAGAGGCGGATCTGTTCCTGCTGGAGTCCAGGAGGCTTTGGGCCGCTGAGGAAGGATGGCTGGAGTTTGACATCACGGCGACCAGCAACCTGTGGGTGATGAGTCCGGTGCATAACCTGGGCCTGCAGGTCAGCGTGGAGACCAGTAGCGGTGAGAAACTCTGCGACTCTCAGCCCGGTTTCAGATCGACGTTTTGTTCTAGATCGGTCAATAGATTCCAGTGAATATCCATCAGTTTAAATAACTCACTTCCTTTTGACAACACGAAACGAAAACGGATCATAAAACAGTAAAAATGAACTTGTGACGCTTATCTAAGAGTTGCCTGTTTTCCCAAGCAGGGCAGACCATCAGCTGTAAAGACGCGGGCCTCGTGGGACGAGACGGCGCGCTGGAGAAGCAGCCTTTCATGGTGGCCTTCTTTAAGGTCAGCGAGGTCCACATCCGCTCTGCCCGCTCCGCAGGAGGGAAACGGCGGCACCAGAATCGCAACCGCTCCACACAACCGCAAGAGGCGTCCAGAGGGTCGGGCCAAACAGGTCGGTGTGCTAAAACCTTAACCGACCTCAGACTGGCCGGTGAATGCAGATGGATGCAAAACTAACCTCAACGTTGCCTCCATAGATGCATGAATTATGTCCAGCCTGCACACTGTTTGTCTGGTTAAGGTATTTCCTTTAGAAGCACTTGATAAATTGGACTCGACCTGCACAGGATCTCTTTGTAATCAGCCACTGTTAGACAGAAACTGTAGCTCAGGGATGATGTGCGGGATTTATTTTCCCTGCAGCTTCCCCTTAAGGATAGAAGGAGATTGAATATTCAGCCTCCTTCGTGATTTATGAAGGTGATTTCTGTTGCTGGGAGGGTTTGGACTCGGAATTAAGTGTCAGAAAAGTTGCATGTTTATTACAATCGTTTGCGCTCGATGGGAAGAGAAGCGTTTTTTGGCTCTAGTACCCGGTGCCTTGTAAAACAGCCATTTAACATCCACATTCTACTGGCCTTTTAGGTGTAGAAAAACACAAAGTTGCACTTAATTATGGTGGATACGGAAAAGATGTAGTTTTTTTTTTAAAAATAAAAAATAAAAACCAGAAAAGTGTGGCCTCGTTCAGTCTGATACCTTTAAATACAACCTGGAGCAACCAAATGCTAGTCTAGCTGGATACACAAGAAAGAAATCAAATCAAATCAAGCAACTTTATTTATTCTGAAAAAGGGAAGTTCGGCTCGCAGCTCTCTGGTCAACATAGCAAAAGAAAATACAAACAATCATCTCATGCAGCCATTTCAGCATCAGGACAAACACTAAAGTCACATGAAATTCAGTAGAGATGGAAAAAAAAAAAGATTCTCTAAATCCCTACAAGAGTTTGTGGTTGTGATGTGACAAAAATGTAAAAAAAAAAAAAAAATCTCCATGCATCCTCTTGCAGGGCACTTTGACCTCGGTCTACTATAAAGGGAGCATTCATTCTGAACAGAGCTGCTAAATATTCAGTGGTTTGTATTGACAGGTGACCTCATCTTTAAACTCTGCTGCAGTTCGCTCCTCGAGCAGCTTACCGGGTGATGTAATGAGGAAGGATAATCCTCATCTTATTAGCTTTGCGAGCGTTTCAAATGAAATCAAACCCGCCCACCTTTCACCTGCTGAGTAATTGTGGCCCCAACTCGATCCCGCTTAAAGCTAAGCTGCCACTGCGAGGGCTTACTGTGCGAGTGGCGCTGGCGCTCGATGGGCGCCGTTAATATCGGCTTGATTGCTGCCTAATTTGACTGATGAGTCTTAACGCGACTCGCAAACCACGGCGAAGCAAACCGTTGGATCGGAGCAGCAGAAGAGAGGGAGCTGTCGCCCCGGCAGAGTGTCCCCTCAGCTCCACTAAGCAAATATGTAATTTCCCACTGGAAACATGCTATTTTATTCTTATTTGATGCAAAAAATAGATGCTAATTTCTTAAGCTAGTCGGAAAAAGAACTCACAGACTAGTTCAACATATAACTTAGATGTGGAATATTGACGATCGGAAAAATCATGCTAATTCTTTTAATTTTTGATTTTTCATGAAATACCTTAAAACCTTTGGTGAAATCATATCTGATGGAAATCAACAATTATAATTTAAATAGAAAGTAAGCAGATTTCTACACATATAGCGCTATCATAGATGGTACCTTACAAAACGTTCTCGCCCTTTCAGTTTAAAAGCTCTTTGCATTTTAGTCTGTTACCTTTGATAGGCCATCTGTGGTGGACTGACAGCAGACAGGTCAGGGATAAAGTCATAAAGAGGTTTAGACCTGCAGTTTATAACTTAGAAATACATGTATGGTTTTTGCATATTTGTTAAAACTGTCACTATGTTATGACAAGATAATATGAAGCAGATAATCTTTCAAAAAAAAAAGAAGTAGCTCCTTTGCCCTCTACCAGTGCTCCCAGTGCTAACTACAGAAATGCACCATTCAGTCAGAAGCAACCAATGAGAGCCAGGAGGACTGGCTCTCATTGAGCGCTGTCAATCATGCTTTCTGGTTACTACCTCCACCTTGCTCTCTGCTATACGCTACAACTTATTTTTGATTGCAGAGCCTGCCATGAATGCTCAAGCTAGTTGGCATGGCAACAGATGATGGCAGATAAACAGTTTTCTTGAAACATCAAGTTATTTCTCCACCATTAGCACATTTAGCAGCATGTACATGAGCATGATTTACTGTAAAAAAAAAAGGTAATGTAAAAACTGCCCAATGTGGCTTTAAATTAGGGTTAGGTTATAAGCCATGAGAAAACTTTCGTTTCAAAGACAGACTAAAATAAGTACACCTGTTTGAGCTTGTAACTACAAGTGATCAGCAAAGCACACTTGTGCTTCTCGTAGGAGCTGAAACTGTTTGACGTCGTCCACAGAGCTGAGAACTGAAGCTAATGATGAGACTGTAAACGGTTAAGCGCCCATACCCAAAAAGCTGACTCGCTTTTCTGCCGCCTGGTGCCAAAACCCAGCTCTGACTGGGGCGCTGCAAATAGAACCTTCTGGCCGGCTACCTGGGAAGCAATTTACCTCCGCTCCGCTTCGCCGGCTCTGTTTAATGACTCTAACATCTGCACGGTAAACAGATGTATTTGTGGGACAGGTTGGCTTTGTGCTTCACTGTTGCTCTCCGCGAATAGTTTGTCTGGCTCCGTTTTCTGTTTGTTCAGAGCGTCTTTGGTGGCTTCCTCCAAAGGCCGAGCTAATGCAGAAAACAACAAGGTGGAAGCTTCAGCTTGCAGGTTTCTCACTGAGCAGGGACGGCGGAGTCTTAAGGTGGCACCGCTTTGAACTCGTGGTTTGTTACGCAACTTCATGTCCTCCTCTGCCAGGCTGTCATCTTCGCTTTCATGTCAGAGTGACTTCAAGAGAAACTCATTTCAGCCTTCATAAGCAAACGGAAAGCTACAGTCTGCTTTTGCGTCCCTGTTCTTGCATCAGGAGGATGAGGAATATCTGAGAAAAGCAAATCTGTTCAAAGAAATTCTCCAGTGACGACAATCGGTTAAATGCACTTTACATAACCCAAAACATCAAGACCTCGCTGCACTCGCCACTCGGCACGACTGGGAGTGTAAATATTTAGATCCTGCACAGGAAGTTGGGAGCGCACCCCCCTTCCCCACCCTCTCTCCGCCGCCTCCCCTGTGACAGCCATGCGTCCGAGGCTAGAAAAGAGGAGTTCTGGGATTGGACGGGATGGGAGGATCCATGAGGAATTCTGGCTGGCATATGGTTTCAATACCGCATCACTCACTCCTGAGATGAGGAGAAGTTTGAATTGGACGGGGGAAACAACTGCATGTTTGGCACCGGCGCTGCAGCGTGTCAGTTCAGGACACAGCGAAAGGGAATATTTCACCTAGAAGTCAGTCCATTTCTAAGGCCAGGAGGAAACATCTTGTTTGTTTTTAACTGCTAGCGTCCACAGAGGCGTCCGTTCAGATGCCTTTGAGAACTTCAGCATGCCGTGTTTTCTAAAAGCAACATCCTCTTCTACCTAAAGCGCAAATTCTTGACCCGTGTGATTAAAATATCTGCGAGAGCTTTATTCTGCATCTCGTTTTACTTAATTACCTTCTTGCAAATGCAGTGTCTCATTGCTCCATATAGTCTTTTTTTATTAAATTCAAAACTGCACTGTGCATTTCCCCCCTTTATGTTGATGCCGCTAAATGAAATCCACTGCAACCAAAGCTGGCTAAAGATTGTAATCCCACTTGTGAACTCTGGTCAGAGGAGATTTAAATATAACTTTCGACTCGCATGCAAAAACACGAAGTGTGGCAGAAAAACAAACACCTCACACCATCTTGTTTATCACTATCCCTAGCATAAAACACAGTGGAGGTTGCATCATGCTGTGGAAATGCTTTAAACAGCAGGTTGATGGCAACATAAGGAGCTAAAACCAGTTAAGCTGGATTATACTTTGTGATTGTTGGGCATCTAAACTCACAGGAGTTATTATAATGTCTTGCTTGTGCAGAGTGACACTTATAGGTAAAAAGACGGCAAAAGACTTCAAAGATGATGTGGAGGTCTTCCGGCTACGTGGACCCTAAACTTAAAGCGAGAGGTATGATGAAATGGTTTAGAGCGAAACTTATTCACGCGTTAGAAGACCTAAACTAAATGCAATTGAGAATTTGTAAGACTTGAACATTGACGTTTGCAGATGTTCTACCTCCAGTTCGACTGAGCTTCAGCTGTTTTGCAGAATTGGCAAAAAAAGACAAAAAAAAATAAAAAAGACCCAAAAGATTTGCATTAATGATTGCAGAAATGGGTGCTTCCTGGGTGTGGACTCAGAGGGGCTGAACAGAACTGCTTGTTACACTTCTTAGATTTGTTTTTTGGGCTTTTTTCCCCCTTACTTCTTAATTTGACCTTTTGTTTTATTAGAAAATCTAAAACTTCACTCGGTCCCTTTAGACTACCAAAACAGGCGGTTCATCAGAAAGCTTGATTACCTAAACCGAAATGCTTCTGAGGTTTTTGACCTCTCTTTTCCCATGTTCATAGTTTTAATGTGTTGGACGTAAAACAACACGTGAGATCAAATATCTTCCAGATGACTGAAAAGGATTGAATTAGCCAAATAAATTTCTGCAACATTAGTTTTGAAATATTGCCGTGATCAAAAGTGTAATAAATCATTTTTTTTGCTCCCTTTTTGCCTGAAAACGCACACGATACGTGATTACATGGACAAATTTGATTGCTCATTCTCTCTTTGAAAACATCCTCCTGAATATATATTTAATATTTTTTTTTTTTTTTTTTTTGACCGAAAGCTCTCGCGTACTGCGCCAGCAGAACAATACAACACCTTTAAAACTAATTTGGCATTTAGTGGGTGCACAGGGCCGGGGAGGTAATGGGAGTCGGGTTGGGCCCTTGACTCCTGGCTGCGGGGGAGGTTAACAACCATCCGGGGAAGGAATACCGCGTCCCGGCAGGCACAGCCCTGGCGGCCTGTAATTAGGTGTAGCTA